GTATGTTGGGCTTCTTGAATGTTTATCTCCTCATTTTTCAAGATGTTAGGGAAATTTTCTTCCAGAAGCTCTTCAACTATCTCTTCTGTGGACTTCTCTTCTTCTTGTTCCGGAATGCCAATAATTCTTTCATTATTCCTCTTCATGTTATCCAGCATGAATCTTAGACTCTCTTCAGATTGTTTTATCCTTTTAGCTGCCTTTTCTTTTACCTTGGCAGTATTGAGAGATTTGTCTTCCAGTTCACTAGTTCTGGCTTCCATCTCTTCTAGTCTGCTCCTTTCCCTTTTCAGCCTATTGTCTATTTCTGATATCTTATTATTTATCACCTGGACATTGTTTTGCAGGTTTTTAATTGTTTCCAATGCTGTGTCAATCCTATTTGATTGTTCCTGCAGTACTCTCCTTATTTTTCTCGACCCCTTTTCAGATTATTTGAATTTGTTTCCATATCATTCTTCTGAATTCCCTCTCAGGCATATCCATAACCTGCTCCTCCTCCTCTATAAAGCCTTTGTCTGTCTCTAGCTCATTTGCGTCAGCTGCTCTTTTCTGTTTTTGGATGTGTTTCGATAAAGTTGATTGTTTCTTATTGGTCATGGCTATTGTTTTATTATTATTATTAATATGATTCGGAGATGGGCTTCCCTTTTTGTCTGTAATGCATAGCAGATGTTGTTGGGTCTTGTCTTAGTGGTGGAGTAATATGTTGTATGTTACAGCTTGGCTATATGGCCACGATTGCTGTTTCTTCTTAAGCGACGTAGGGAGGATAAGTTCCCACCTCCAGGAAGGATGTGTGATCCAAAGGACTAAAGGCAGAAGTAATATAAACTCATGGACAGAAATCACCACTTTGGAGTGGGAATGCAGCTTTGGTTAACTTTTTCTGTTCCCTGTCCTGCCAGAACAGTCGCTGGTAGATCCCCGCTGCTAGCTAGGAGTGAGGACAGGGGGTTTAGATGCAGGGACGAGGGGATGGTGGATGACGTCAAAAAGCCGCTGCCTTTCTCCCTCTCTCTGTGCATGGGTGAGCTGCCCCTGCCTGAATTTTATTGAGATCTCAAGCCAGGGCAGGAAGATTTTGCGGGGGAGCTATGTTGCCCCTTGCGGCTCCCTTTTTGTCCCGGAACCCCCTTTCTTCCTCCTGCTGGAAACGCCGCTCTCTGAATGAGCTGGCCTTAGCCCTGCCCTCTAAACTCTGCAGTCCCAGGAGTGACCCGTGGTCCTGCAGGCGAGAATCCCAAAATGCATGCCTTTCTTTTTCCTTAGCAGAGCGATTTCTCAAAAATGCGAGTTCAGGAGACTGAAATAGCCCATCTTATAATAGCTTAAAAGCCGTGGGTCTGGTATATGAACGTTTCCTTTGTGAGATCTCCCTCCTTTCTCACCGGAGCCCTCCCCTACCTGACTTCCCTGGCTGTTGTGCAGAACCGGAAGCCTTATTCATAATTTTTATTTTGTTTATTCATCTGCTTGCTGATGGACACTGGGTTGTTTCCACCTTTTGACTATTGTGATTTAGACTACAAATAAACACTGGTATGCAACTATCTGAGTGGAATTGCTGGGACTTATGGTAATTGTCGGAAATCCTATGCAGGGCCACTGTGAGTCAGAACTGACTCCAAGGCACACCACCACCACCACCATGGTAATTCTAAGAGTCCTTGTATGGTGCTGTAGAATAAACACTAGACCACTTACTGCAAAGTTGAAACTTCAAACCCAACAGCCGTTTTTCAGAAATCTTATGTAGGGTTTCTGTGAGTTTGGACTGACTCTTAACAACAACAATGGTAATTCTTTAACTTTTTGAGGAGTCGCTAAAGTGTTTTCCATAGCAGTGACTGTACCATTTTATATTACCAGCAATGTGCAAGGAGTCCAATTTCTCTGCATTTTTGACAACACTTGTTTTCTGTTGTTATTTTTAATAATAGCTATCTTAGTGTGTTACCTCATTTTGATTTTGATTTGCAATTAACTAATGACCAATGATATACTTTTATGTTCCATTTGCATATGCCTGTTTTAAGACCTTTGTCCATTTTTTTAATTTTTTTTTTTTTTTGTAAAAGTTTTTTATTCCTGTATACTTTGACTTTTATCTCCCCAATGAGATTATAAACTCTTTGAGAGCTGGAGCCATCTGATTGTTCTGATTGTTTTATTTCCTGCTTCATCACCACCACCACCACCTTATTTTTGAAGGTGCATGTTTTGACTTTACAGCTCACAATGCTTTGGGAGTTTTTATCTGTTTATCTTTTATTCTATTTCTGGTCAGTAGGTGGCACCCATTGTACACTAGACAGCAAGTGACAGCTTATGGGGCATCTGCTTGTGTCAAGCAATAGGTCTTTTTCTTCCAGTGATGACTCCAAGATTAAATGTCATTATTTTAAATACCAGTTAATGGCCTATTTTCCATAGTCCTCTGATACCTGCTGCTGTTGTTACTATTAGGTGCCATCAGGTTGGTTCCAACTAAGAGTGACCCTATGTTCAACAGAACAAAATATGTCTTGGTCCTACTGTAGCTGTTAATTAAACCATAGGCATTCTCTTACACAGGCACTTACCAAGTTTTTCACATTTTTTTTTTCTTGTAGGATCGGCTGACTTTTAGACGAATCATAGTGAAAAACAATGCAAAAAAGAGGAAGATGTTTGAATCATTTATTGAATCTGTACCCCTTCTTAAGTCATTAGAGGTAATGTCTATTTGAATAAGAATCTGGGTTGGAGATATAAGAAAAACTGCTAAAACTATTATTTTGTCAGATTTGCAAAGAAAGTTATTCTAATTCATTTCTCTGACTCTCAGTTGAGGTCTAGTCCTTATCATTGCTAAGTGTGTTTATTGTTTCAGGTGTCAGAACGAATGAAGATTGTGGATGTAATAGGAGAGAAGATCTATAAGGATGGAGAGCGCATCATCACTCAGGTGAGCCAGAAGTCTTGTGTAGTTCCTTTTCTGGACTTCACCACATGAAGGGCTAATGCATCATTTGTCTTACAAAACTTTCATATCCTTCCACTGTTAGGAGCTCATGTTAGGTGGTATAGGTCACATTTCCTACAGAGTCCTGTAAAAAACCCTTTGATGTCCAACCTTACTAACATATGCAAATCTCTTGACTCCATTCACCTTTCCTTGATTTTTTGTATGTATTCTTTAAAATAGCATTTTCTTTTAATTCTTTATAAGCTTCATTCATCAGTGTTAAACCTGGAGGGAGGTAAGAGGGTTGTGCCCTCTACCTTCTGTCTACATTTGGTGCAAAGGTGCCCTCTAACTAACCCAACACAAAACTTGAGTCCTTGATCTTCAGTGACTGACCAGATTTGTAAGATACATTTGATATTTCCTTTGTGTCATTTCTTGTGTTGTTTTTGGGTACAGGAAGGATCACTGCACAGTGGTCTGGACCTCTGTAATGTGTACTATGTAATGCATTTTCCTTGCCCTAGTCTGTTTGCATCTTTGATTTTATGTTGTTGAGTGCTGTAAAGTTAGTGCTGACTCATAGAGACCCTATGCACAACAGAAGGAAACACTGCTCTGCCTTGGGCCATCCTCTCAACTGTTACATTTAAGCCCAGTGTTGCAGCCACTGTGTCAGTATCCTTGAGGGTCTTCCACTTTTTCACTACCCGTCTACTTTGTCAAACATGATGTCTTTTTCCAAGGACTGATCCCTCCTGATAACATGTCTAAAGTATGAGAGACAAAGTCTTACCT